TCTCTCTCTTTCTCCCTCTCTCTCTCTCCCTCTCTCTCCCTCCCTCTCTCTCTTTCTTTCTTTTTAACTGAATAAAGCTGTTATAGTCATGTTGAATTGTTTCTGTAGATATTTGTTTAATTATTCTTTTCTAGCCATTATTTCTATTTTATACAGAATATTATACTCGGATAGCGTTGAACTAAGGATCGCGGGTTCGATTCTCGACTCGATCGCTTCTAAACAATTCTTTCTTTCTTTCTTTCTTTTGCTGAAATACATGTATACTTATTCTAGTAATGTTTTTTTTCTGTAAATATTTGCTTTATTATGATTTTACAAGCAAGATCATACTTGAGTAGTGGCGTTGAACTGATGATCGCGGGCTCGGCAGGAAAAAATTGATAGGCCAAAAATGAATGTTAAGGTTAATATTGGAGGATTTATAAACAAAATGACCTACTCGATCTATTGTAGACGTGGATGGATTAATTCCGATGGATTCTATCATTGCACTATGGTCGACCCTTGGGATCCAAAACTACCAGAATGCACTGCCCACTTTTTGGTAATGTAATTAGTATTCGCTGTTTTACTAATCTCAAAAGGGAATAAAAAAGGTAAACAAATACGTAGAGCATTCTGGTAGTTTTAGTAAACTGACGTCATAGTGCAAGTTGCTTATGAAATACTTACTTTGTAGCATCTTAACTGCGCAGGTCATGACGGCATTTTCAACACGTAGCTGTGCTTTTTGCACCATTCCAAAGGCACCAGAGCCTAACTTTTCTTGAAGTTGAAGAGATTCCCGCGGAATTTCCCACCACTTGCCGGGCATCATTCCAAAGGACCCCAAATCATGATTAACAGCGGAAAGGGAAAAAGCCTCATTTTTAAAGGAGTACAGTTTGACTTTTTGCGCCTGAAATTAGAAAATCATTTTACCGAGTCGCTCAAACACAGAGGAACTGATTAATCAGGATAAAAATTAATTACGTTTTCTTTGATTAAGAGTTATCAACTGAGTTGTCGAAACGACTGCAGCAGTATCTCAGGTTCCTTACAATATATCAAGAGGGTCGGATACAGGGGGGGAGGGGTCTATAGGTGCATTTGACAACATCTAACACAGCAAATATTGTGTCATTTTAAACCAAAATATTGTACTTATTATGATATAATGTGCAGCAAGAAGACTTTTTTTACAGAAGAATTTTATCTGAAAAAAACGAATCACTAGTCTTCATTACAGTTTTTTTATAATATARTACATTTCTGAACTTTGGGTTCTGGATCCGGCCCTGATGATCATCACTGTTACGTTTTTCCCAAGTAAATGATGAGAAAATAACAATTACACCAAAGTCAATATGGCGGATCCTAGTCGTATTTATTTTCTCACGTGGTTATACAGGTAACCCATGCTAATACACTACAATCACCATGTCAACTGACGATTATTCTTTGAGTATCAATGAATTGACTTACATGTGTCGTTGGTTTGTTTGGATTCTTATCATAATAATTGTCGTTTCTTCTTGTCTTTCGATAACAAATCACAATCCCAGCGATGACAAGAATAACACACAAAGGCAGGAATACCCACAGCCACATTAACGATGTTTTGGAAGCTACCGAAATAAACCATGTGTTGTTAAAATTGAACTGTTCACCCACTGGAATATTATGATAAACCAATCAATGAAGCCGGGACCTCCCTTTTTTATGGCCAATTGATCAAAATCTTGATGAGAGCTCTAGTCCAACGCACTACCGACCGACCTATCAACCGTATGGTTTGGTATAGAGCGAGATATGAGAACTAGACACATTTAGTATTACCATTTGATTGGCTTCGCTACTCGGGGTCTATTTTCAATAGTCCTCGACAACTTTTTACGTATTTTTAGCTATAAAAACATTTAGATATTTTGATATTTCATTAATTTTTTATCCAACTAGTATGGTAATACTAAAAACAATTTTTCGGCCTCATGGGCTATCAGCTCGTAGTCAACTCGCCCTCGAGATCTAATTATTAAATGGTCTGTTCACCTACCAACCTCGTTCCCAAGGAAATTATGCCTTCCTATGGGCGTGTAACGAGGTTGTGAGCCGGCTTCCAGTTAAAACAATCAACTGCAATCATAAAACATGAACTAACCTTTAGTTGTGAATTCCTGTACGGTGCTATCAAGTCCATTTGCTTGTTGATTCTTGGCATATACCTTTACAAAGTAGGCCGTGTCTTCTTGGAGATCTTCTAAAGGACAATCCAACTGCATAGATTTAATGGTTAACTTTTCTTGNTCATAATATGCTAATTACACAAAAACGTCACGGACATGCGCGACACGTTTCGAACCCCATGCGCCCAGCCGTCAGGGGAGAGAGTATCGCGGGCGCACGAAATCCCGACGGCTGGAGACTGAGCCTAGAATAAACCATGTGTTGTTAAAATTGAACTGTTCACCCACTGGAATATTATAAACCAATCAATGAATCCGGGACCTCCCTTTTTAATGGCTAATTTGTCAAAATCTTGATGAGAGCCCTAGTCCAACGCTCTACCGACAGACCTATCAACTATGGTTTGGTATAGAGCGAGATATGAGAACTAGTCACATTTAGTATTACCATACTAGTGGACTATTGCAAATCCTTCGTTCTGATTGGCTTCGCTACTCGGGGTCCATTTTCAATAGTCCTCGACAAATGTTTACGTATTTTTAGCTATAAAAACATTTAGTTATTTTGATATTTTGATATTTCAATAATTTTTTATCCAACTAGTATGGTAATACTAAAAACAATTTGTCGGCCTCATGGGCTATCAGCTCGTAGTCAACTCGCCCTCGAGATCTAATTGTTAAATAGTCTATTCACCTACCAACCTCGTTCCCAAGGAAATTATGCCTACCTATGGGCGTGTAACGAGGTTATGAGCCGGCTTCCCGCTAAAACAATCAACTGCAATCATAAAACATGAACTAACCTTTAGTTGTGAATTCCTGTTTGGTGCTGTCAAGTCCATTTGCTTGTTGATTCTTGGCATATACCTTTACAAAGTAGGCCGTGTCTTCTTGGAGATCTTCTAAAGGACAATCCAACTGCATAGATTTAATGGTTAACTTTTCTTGCCATGATTCTTCACCATGTTTTTTTAGCTTGATGGTGTAATGAGAAAAGAAAAAGTACTCTGCATATTGCGGTTTGCTCCATCTAAGGTGAGCTGTGATTTCTTTGATGTCATCAACGGTAACGTTGCGTGGAGGGTTTGGTGGGGCTATAGGAAAGAAAATCCATACCTTGTAACTAAGGACATTCAAGGACAATTTAAAAAAACTATGTTGAAGGACAATGAACAGCCGGAAAGGCGTTATGAGCACTAGCGTAGCCAAATTTTAACAGTGTATGGAGGAAAAATTGAAATACAAMATTTTTCAAGCGTTTGTATGCCCCACAAACATTTACCCGATTTTAGGTTCTCGCTGCGCCCCTGGTGTGTATTGCCAGGGACGGCGGCGCCGGGGGGACTGGGGGGTCTTTAGCCCCCAAAATAATTTTCTTATATTGTTTCTTTAATTCTTGAGAATAAAAATAAATTACAATTGACACTGATACAAGAGCTCGCATTCTTGGTTGCCAAGCACAAATGAAGACTGTTCATTATTTTTTGGGTCTCCA